AAACAAAAAAAAAAAGGTGGAAAATGTTTTCCCCCCTATTAGGTGAAAAAACATTTTCCACCATTTGCGCATCAAAGGGTTGTACCTAGAAAAAGGGAGGAAAACATTTTCCGTGGAAAATTTCGCATATCAAACAGTCAAAAAAGTGAAAGTAGGAAAATATTTTTCTACTTCACTCGAAAACTCTGCCAATCAAACGGAGCCTTAGTATAATTGAAGGGAAAAAGATATATGCACAGAAGAAATCCTCCTAGATATTTTACAGGTCAGCAGCTCCTGATTGGTTACTTTTTTTTTTTTTGTGCCCCTGTCGAATGAAAAATTTCCAACTGTATCTGCAGGGCGGATTAAAATTAAAATTTAAACTGTTTATACAAGCGAATTTTGTTCAAAATAATTTGCAGCTCTTAAAGAGGGCATAAAATCTCAATTTTTGTTGACAAGATCTTGAAATTGTGACTTTTCTGAGGGAAAATTGCTTCAATGTTTGAGTCCATAACTATTCTTTTCGGTTGACATTTAGGGTTTAAGTCTCCGAACTTCAATTTTCAAGGCAAATTAACCCTTCTGTGTTGAGGATGTATAATCAGAATCTTCCCTTTTCTATAACAGAGAATTTGCTGTGTTTATAAACTTGGAAAGCAACTCCCCTTTGGTATCGTCAATAATGTTAAATCTACACGTCTCTCGTGCAAAAAACGAAGTCAATTTTTTTAATCGAAAATCTAACTCGAGCATGAACATTTTTCTGATATACGACAATCACAATCTCTAAATCTCATAACGATGAGGGTTCACAATGAAGAAGCACCAAAATTTTTGGAATGCATTCCAGAAAGAATAATGCTTTATGTACAGAAACATTATTCGTAGGGTTGCATAGGCTCCTCACAAGGGGGGCCCACACTATTTTTTTGAAAAAATACATGTGGCACCCCCTTTGTGTGGAACCTGTACAACCCTTGTGAATGATGCTTATGTACATGAAACATTTTTCTTCCTGAAAACCTTTCAAAGGTTATAAAGCCATTTTTCCTCCATGCTTTATTCAAAAGTTATGGAATCTAACAATTATATTGACTTTGACAACCAGCAACTAAATGAATATGTTTGTAGAATACTCGTAACATTTTCAATTGTCAAACAAATAGAATCTCTGGGGATCTTGGCTATCATTTCGATCCAACATTTTGTCAAATGCAATCAATCGTACGTGTAATTCACTGGGGAAACATGATGGGAATCATTAATAGTAAATTTATACCATCACAATAATTCATTTATAATCATGTTTCTTGTAGTCAAAGAAACAATGAACCCCTTGAGCGATATTATCAATTACAATATCGTCAACGAAGCATAAAGATTTTCAAAGCAAATTGAAAATAGTGTTTTAGCAAAGGCATGAGCAACAACTTGTCTGTTGAACCAATTTTAAAAACCCAACCCAGTAGCAACTTCCCAGGCCCGGACCGGCCCAAAAAAGTTGAAAGATCAACAAAATATTTCCTTTATTTTATTAGTAGTGTCATCTGAACACATTTCAAGCTCTTTGGTCGACAATGGTCCATTCCACAAACATTTCACACCCATTGTTTTAAGAAATAAAATAGGCCTACAATTTAAACTATTACCTAGTTCTATAGTTTGTAGTGTTTTGCTATCTAACAAAATCTGAAAAAGTCAATGCAAAAAAAATAATAAAAATTTAAAGAAATCTCTCATATAGTTTTTTGTCAAGTTTCTTCAAAATTAATGGATTAATTTTAAGAAAATTTAAAAATAAGTTATTTATTTTTTGAATTCTTGCTTGGAATGATTATTTGGTATGAAGTATTGAATAATATTAACAGAATAAACAAGTATTTACAAACAGAAGACATGCATATTAAAGTTGCTATAAACTATTTAAAATGGCTTATTTCATTTTCTAAAGTTATAGAGAAATTGAGTTTGAATCAACTATAATTTATGCTAAAGAGATTGCAAATGAATTATAAATTGAACCAATATCTTGTGAAAACGTATTATACATTTAAAAAAGCAACTTAATGAGACTTCGTCTGAAAATATGTTTGAAAAATCTTTCAGGGTCAATTATTTCATAGATTAAGCATTATCATCTTTCTAAAATATATTTGAACAATTTCATAAATATGATGATACTTTTGAATTTTTATTTGATTTCGAGAAGCTTAAAATCTATTGATGATGCTAACTTGAAGTGTTCTTGCATAAATCTTGAAATTTCCTTAAAGCAGAACATGGTTTCTTAATTTGATGGGTAGAATTGTTTTCAAGTTGAAAGTTTTAAGGTAAACGATACCTAAAGAAACTAATGGTGCAATTGATGTACATTACATTAAGAAAATGAATTGTTATTTTACAAATATTTAGGTTATTTAGAGAGTATTATTGACTTTTCATTTCATTGCCGCCTCTACGAAACAAAGTTTTACAAAATTGAAGTTGATTATATTTTATCCTAGATCAATCACGTCACACGAGAGACTATTAGCTATGATTTCTATCAAATTATGTTAGGAAAAAAAACTTGATTTGTGTAGTTTTATTATTAATTTTTAGTTTGTGAGACACGAAACAAATTTATTTATATACATTTCTTAAATAATACACAACAATTCTTTTAGCCTATATCTGGCTATGTTTATAAATTGTTTATAAATACTCTAGCCATTTTTCATTTACACATTTTTGAGAAATTTTCAGGTACTATCTATTTATTCACCACTTATAGCCCGTTTGATTGCAAGAATGAAATTTAGGTGGCAAGAAGATGAATTCTATGGAATTAAATTGTCTAAAACTTGTTTTATTGAGAATTGTCAACTAATTGTATTTGATTGGTATAATTTTTCACCTAAAAATGTTGAAATTTGGATCATTTGGTATTCGTTTGGCTTTATTTTCCATGAAAATTGTCCATTAAATGAATATAATTTGTTACAATTGGGGATATAATTCGTTTCCACTGCCAAAAATAAATAAATAAATAACTAAAAAAAAAAAGCTACCTAGAAAATCAATTCCCAACTAAGTGGTGAGAATTGATTTACCGCTAAAAGTAAGAAAATTTGGCAAACTAAGAAAATGTGGAAACTCAATTACCTGGAAAATATTTCCTATCAAACACTTTAAAAAGTGAAAAATGTCAAAAAAATTTCTATCTTCCATAAAAAACTTGTCCTATCAAACATGGCCTTATTTCTATCTATTTCTATTTAAACAATTTATACTTTCCAAACATAAACGTTTGGTAAAATTTATAAATCATTTATAATTAGTTAAATTTCATTTTAAACTGCACTTTCTAAGAAATAGACAAATACTATTCATTTATTCACAACTCATTCTATCTATTTATAATTTAAACATTCTTATAATTTTTTTCCCAAATGGAGGGTTACAGTCAATGGACAATAGTAAAATATGTTTTCTTTTTCAACCTATTGAGAAATCTATCTCATTGAATGAAGATGGCCAGGTTACACTATGCCCCTATTCGATTTTTTAGCTAAAAATCAGATTTTTAGAAAATTTTGATAAAAATTGAGGAATGTATAGTTAAAAAATTAATAAAACGCGTGAATTCAATAAAATATGTAGTCTCTATTGGTAACTTTTACTTAAATTTTTTATCAACCTTTTTAGTTAAACCAAATATGAACGGTAAGTTTATATATCATCCAGCCTTGGAACCAATCATACAATTCCAGTACAAGAAAGGCACAAATCAATCCAAGTTTCTTTGCGCGCAATCATTTAAATATTCTTAAATATCCCTGCCTTATTAGTTGTACACATCCAGGGAGCAAATAAATAGTGGAATAATTAAAATCCTCTAGGGTAAAGTGAATCGTATGGGAGCGTTATAGTTATTTTTATTGTGAGCGACATAAGGAAGCCCTCTCGAGATATCAGAATGCCTGAGGAATTTAGTATGTCTTTCCTGCCTATTCTTCCTTCCTGGATGAGAAGAGCGTGGAATAAAAACCCCAGTCCCTTTACGTTCTTTTGTGCATGTCTTCTGATGAAGAACTGGCATTTGAGTGGCTGGATGGATTGCCTGAGTGAAGGCCTGAAAAATATTCAAAAACAGAGAAATGATTGGTTTAGCAAAATCTTCAACTTGGTCAAAAAGTCCAACAAGATGAGCCTCATTGATCAGGACCATGCCTTTAGGCAGAGTGAGACTCACCCAGTGAGTACCATACTGTATTTATTGTACATAAATTGCACCCAAATGGAAACTAGAAGCACGGCAACGCCTTTATCAAAATTAATGTCACATATATTTGACGTGGTGTCTCTTATATCGAACAATTAACAAAGCGAGTAAACAATGAAGAACCTGATTAACAGATGGAAAATTATCATGAAGCGAGTCTTCATCATCATCCATGATCAGAAGAGAGATTTGTTTGCTTAAGTCTGCAAAGAAAACATCATCTTCTACTTCCACAGTTGCTTCCATATATTTGTGTGTGTGTGTATGTCTAGCACTCAAAGAATTTTGAGGCGTAAATCTAGCACAGTACAAATAATTACCACAACTAAATGTATAAATCTGATACCCTATTTTCTTTTCCTGCAGTTGAATGAGATATGTGTGTTTAAATAGAGAAAGACAGAGGATGGGTTTAAAATAGGTTAAAAGGGCATGTGGGATGGTGGGACTATGAAACTCAGTTGGCAATTATCTGTCAAAATCAATACACGGCCCCACAAGTGTGTTTCATTACGATATATATTATACAGTTGAGGAAAATAAGAGATGAGGCCCGAGGGAGCAGCAAAGGAAAGACCCACACCCAGATATCTGATCCAAGATGGACTTCATCTTTAGGGTATGCATATACTTGGTTGTGAATGTATTTACACTTAGTTCTCCTCTCATCCATCAATCATATAGATCACAGTTCACTCTACGTTATAACCTACGATTTGTATCCATCGAGTCTCTCTCTCGGAGATAGTACCCACATAGTTAAACCTTTCGTGCAAGTTATAACTTATGTGACAAGAAATTTTGCAACTTTACAATAGATATAGTTATGTCCACTGTTCACGGGGATTCAGTCGCCAGGGTCAACTGAAAATTTCACTGTATTTTTGACATTATTGAATGTTTGGTAACACGTACAACATTGGATACTAAAAAATAAGACAAAATGAAATTAAAATATTCTTGTCTATTATAGCGTTAAGTTCTTATGAATATTGGGTATTGAACGCGCTCACAGATTCTTTATCTACAGTCTTTAATAGAGTAGGGTTCCCTACATATGGTAGGTCCTCATGAGATGGTCCGTGGTCATATAAGCTCTCAAGTTTCACCATATATATCAGAGTAGTGTTTGTTGTCTAGGATTCTTTCACTCTAATAATTAGCATATGTTAAGGTTTGCAAGTGTTTATAAAAGTTATGAAAATGTTCAAACCAATTTTCATTCAAAACATTTGATGAGATTCACAGATACTGCTTGCTTTTTCAATACATATTTCTAAGTTCTATCTATTTACAGACAAAACCGTTTATAAACACTTCTCAAACAAGTTTAGCCTTTCAATTCGAGGTCAGTTAAGTAAAGTTGTCTTTTGTTGAAATATTTTTTTAATTAAAATAAGAAATGCAATGTTAGTTAAGAGGGGAAGAACTACTGAGATGAAGTAGTTGGTCAGTACTAATCAATTTCAAGCACCGCCTTCAAAGGAATTTAAGTAACATGTTTGAATTGTTGGATGATACGTACTAGAATTTCATTCAATGTTTGACTTAGTGATCAACAAATTCATCTCATTTAGCCATTTCTCTTCTCCCTCAACTCACTAAATCAATGCTGAACAGGAGCAAGAAGAGAAATCGCTAGATGAGAGATTTGTTGATCCCTATTTCAACATCAACAATCTGGTAAAGTATTTCGTGTAATTCAATATTCTCTATATCTTAAAACAATACTAATATGCCAGACATCTTTAATTCTATTGTTTTCGATAACTTTTTCCCATGTACAAAACTCATTATATGATAAAAAAAAAAAAAAAAAGGTTCTATCCAAAAATTAGTACCACAGGTCGATCCTCTAATTTATGTCGCCCATCTTATTCTTCTTAATAGCTAAATGTAATCAGCATTTTGTATTAAGTAATTTGTTCATTCTTCTTGCAAGACATGATGTGATTCGACTGCAATCCTTTTCGTCAGTCTCCTTCACATAAATTACTCTTTATCCTCCCTCAGCTACATAGTGACATAATATAAAGCCGAAAGTTAAGAAATCAAGATGCGATTGGGAATCACTTATTAAAGCGTTTTATAATGATATCCAGTTGTTCACAGTTAATCTGAAAGCTATTTGCGAAAAGTAAGATGATACCAATTGAGAAAAAAACGAAGACAATGACAATAAAGCCCCTGTTTGATATCGATAATAATGAGCTTTTTGGAATAATGTATTTTGGCATAGTGGTTTTTTAAAAGAATGTATGGTTAAAAAAGAAGGAAAAATTTTGAGTTTAAATGTAATATTATTTTATTTGAGAATGCGTTGTTGATAAGAAAAGAGAAAAAAATGAATTATTATTTTAGTGGAGGCCAAACATGGGCTAAGTGGTTGCATGGGACTGTTTTGAGTAAACCTAAAGAATTTTTCATTCATGTATGAGTTAAGTTCTCGACATAAGAGGCAAGGAAAGAAAGATTAGGCCAAAACTAACACGACTTGTTGATAAAAATAAAGTGATACCAGTTTGCTATGATATCAAACACAAATCCTCTTCATAGTATTTAACCTCGAGGTTTCCAAAGCAACGACGACTTCCTTAAAAGCAGTTAGGTAATTTTCAAGGGATGTATCTTCTATCATACAATGAGAATATAAATGCTGCTTCAAATGTAATTTGCTTATTAGACTTTTTGTCATGCATAATTGCTCCGATTTCAATCACAATGCAGATGCGGTCTTCTCCATCAAAACTTCCAAACAAATATATTTGAAAGATGAAAATGAATCTGTGATAGGGCATTTCGATCCCTACGTTATTTCTCCTCCGGTGTCCAAGTCGTGGGCATCTTGTCAAATCTCAACAACGCATCATCCAAATCCATTTGGGCAAGCACTACTTACATCTTTACCTGTCCATCGAAAATCTTGTGCTGCAATCCAAAAGAAGCATATCATACTTCATGGTTATCTTCACAAAAGATCAAGCTGAGTTATTGATTTAATCGAACCTCGCTCTAATATCAATTGTTAGAAACAGAGCGATACCAAGTTTCTTTGGTTTGTTGTAATATAAGGATAAACATATGGTACAATATGAAGTAAATATCACAAATGTACAAGAATAAAAGATAATTGGCAGAGGAAAGGAGATTCACTAAAAGTATGGAGAAATGATACAAAGATTTTGTATTTACAAATTTGTCTAACTTGTCTAAATCACAATGAAAAGCTAACTATAAACAAAGAACATTTCAAAACATAGAAATTGAGTTAAAAAGAATGCTGAAAAGCATAAAAAAATATGAAATGGCACTGGGCTAGATATATAGGCGGCTTGAGCACTATTCAGGCTCTAGGAGAGCGGCATGGCGCTACTCGAGCACCAGGAGGGCAGGAGCTTACTATGAAAAATTTGATGCCGGCACTCGGTGGAGAGGCCAGCGGCCAATTAGCGGAAAAGCACCGAAAATTTCTCCATGATCCATATCTTGAGCTCTTCAAATCCAATACAAATTTTAAACTCCTAATTGAACTCCCAAATTTAATTTCAACTAGATTTGTCAAATAAACTTCGAATAGCATTCCAGATAGAATTCAAATCACGCCCTAATTCTAACATTTGTTAAAGATCAAGTAACTTATTCTAATGTATGGCTTTATTCATTTTATTAGTGATTATTTAGCTTTTTTGTTATTATTTTTTATCAATTAACATTATTTAGCTAGTTTTATATAGATGAGGGACTAGACTAAAATTTTTATTTAAGACATTAGGTGTCATTATATTGTGAATTTCGTTTGATTTTATTGAATAAAAAACCTATTATGAGAAGTGTCCCAATTTCTTTTGTTTGATTCGGAATCAACAATTTAGTAATGAAAATTAAGTCTAGATATTTGTGCGAATCAACAAGTCTTGATTGTCAAGTATCCATTATTTTTTTATGTTTAGTCAATGGATATTTGATTATTTTCTTCATTATCATTGATATAGGATAACATCAATAATGATCTATGATGGCCACAAGTTGATGACTACTTGATAGGTAGACTACGTAGAGCACCTCATGTGTTGTCGACTATCACCATGACGCCCTTTATGTTCACATGGACCCTCTACCACTACAGGCCGCCTATCACCACGAGGCCGTCGAATACTACAAGGTATTCTATGTTCATATAGGTCGTTTACTATTACGAGGCCGTTGACTACCATGAGGCCATCTACGTTCACATGGGCGCTCTACCACTATAGGTCGACTACCACCACAAGGTCATCGACTGCAACGAGGTACTCTATGTTTATATGGGCCATCTACCACTACAAGCAATCTACCACTATGAGGCCAACACCACACTTAACCTAAAAAATAGCCATAAATCGAATGGAAACCGCTCAATGGCAATCATGGTTACAATCAATCGCTAAAGTAGTGGAGATCATCCCTTCAGAACGTGGGGGGTGCGGGAGGAGTTACGTGGGACACGTAGCATTAATAATCGCTGAACAGGTACGTGGCATCAATGGCCTATAACTACCCCTGAGATGGGAAAGGTATGGACTGAATAACCTGAACAATTTGAATACCAATTGCATTTCATATCTTCTAAAACCCTCTACTGATTCTCACGGTAGAGGTAAAATGGAGGAGAAAGCCCCAACCTCATTTTGCAGGTAGCGTTTGTCTATAAGTTCAACTAAAACACCTTACACTTCAAGAAGAACACGAAGGTCAATCTCGTTACAATCTCATTGGCACTGTCTGTGGAAAACCACTGAACAAAAAAGCTATGTCAAGGAGATGGACTAGGAGTGAAACGCGCATGGTCGGGGAACCGCAGAGACGGAGTTAGAGTCGTCGCAAGGGGTCCCACTCACCACCACCGCCGCAGTACGTGACGTAGAGCCATCCTTGGAAACACAATTGGCAGCCATGATGACCCTCTTACAGAGTCAAATGTAGAAAGTCGTAGCCCCACCATAGAACCCACCGGAGGCCATACTCGAACAATTGCCCCAAGTAGCGAAAACGGTTATCCCGCCTGTTACTTAGCCAATAATAGGAAACTTGGGGGCTACATGGGTTGTGGTTTCGTGGATTCCCCGACCCATAACAGACTTGGAAAGAAAGATAAAGGAGATGATAGCCTAGAAGAAAGATGATGTATTAACTAAAAGGAATTACAACGCAGGCAAATGGTTTTGGAAGAAGATCATTTTGCACCAGAAATCATGGCTATTCCTTTA